AGTCAGCTGTGACGGGCTGCTTCCTGGGGGTGGAGGCCTGGTCGAGGACCGGGCCGCGGGGACACTAAGCCCAGAAAATCATCTCAAGATAACATCTCAAGATGGGGGTCTTCGCGTCACTAGTCTGAGCGGGCAGCCTGCCTCTGGCTGTCAAGGGCAACTACTGCTCACTGCAAGATGGTCTGTCCTGTGGGGCAAGAGTCATTACATCAGACGATCCACGCACGGCAAGTCGGGGCCCATGAGCTAACACCCCCATCCTGCAAGCACAAGTTATAGTGACTACAACCCACATTTCAGTATCTTGGGGAATAGAATGGAGCTTCTCAGGTAGGTAACCAGGAGCCATATGAAGGGGGATTGATGAAGAGGGAACTATGAGAAGATGAGAGAGTTTCTATTGGTAATACGATAGAAGGATGAACTGTGGGTGACTGACAGTAGCATCATGGTGGTCCAGCACCGCCACAGGTGTCTGGACGTAAGCCACAAGGTTCTCCTGGTCCAAAGAAAGGGGAATACAAGTTACATAACTAATTTGTGGCTTAATAAAGTTGTATTGAAGTAAAGCAATTAAGTACAAGAGCATGCATGAACAACAGGAATAACTGAACAACAGGAACAATTGAACAGGAACAACTGAACAACAGGAATAACTGAACAACAGGAACAACTGAACAGGAACAACTGAACAACAGGAACAACTGAACACGAGGAACAACTGAACAACAGGAACAATTAGGATGAGTGGCGCTGCCCAATACTGTCACTATGGGGGTGTGTCCACTCACAGGATGAGTGGCGCTGCCCAATACTGTCACTATGGGGGTGTGTCCACTCACAGGATGAGTGGTGCTGTCCAATACTGTCACTATGGCGGTGTGTCCACTCACAGGATAAGTGGCGCTGCCCAATACTGTCACTATGGCGGTGTGTCCACTCACAGGATGAGTGACGCTGCCCAATACTGTCACTATGGCGGTGTGTCCACTCACAGGATGAGTGGCGCTGCCCAATACTGTCACTATGGCGGAGTGTCCACTCACAGGATGAGTGGCGCTGCCCAATACTGTCACTATGGCGGTGTGTCCACTCACAGGATAAGTGACGCTGCCCAATACTGTCACTATGGCGGTGTGTCCACTCACAGGATGAGTGACGCTGCCCAATACTGTCACTATGGCGGTGTGTTCACTCACAGGATGAGTGGCGCTGCCCAATACTGTCACTATGGCGGTTTGTCCACTCACAGGATGAGTGACGCTGTCCAATACTGTCACTATGGCGGTGTGTCCACTCACAGGATGAGTGACGCTGTCCAATACTGTCACTATGGCGGTGTGTCCACTCACAGGATGAGTGGCGCTGTCCAATACTGTCACTATGGCGGTGTGTCCACTCACAGGATAAGTGGCGCTGCCCAATACTGTCACTATGGCGGTGTGTCCACTCACAGGATAAGTGGCGCTGCCCAATACTGTCACTATGGCGGTGTGTTCACTCACAGGATGAGTGGCGCTGCCCAATACTGTCACTATGGCGGTGTGTCCACTCACAGGATGAGTGACGCTGTCCAATACTGTCACTATGGCGGTGTGTCCACTCACAGGATAAGTGGCGCTGCCCAATACTGTCACTATGGCGGTGTGTTCACTCACAGGATGAGTGGCGCTGCCCAATACTGTCACTATGGCGGTGTGTTCACTCACAGGATGAGTGGCGCTGCCCAATACTATCACTATGGCGGTGTGTCCACTCACAGGATGAGTGGCGCTGTCCAATACTGTCACTATGGCGGTGTGTCCACTCACAGGGTGAGTGACGCTGTCCAATACTGTCACTATGGCGGTGTGTCCACTCACAGGATAAGTGGCGCTGCCCAATACTGTCACTATGGCGGTGTGTTCACTCACAGGATGAGTGGCGCTGCCCAATACTGTCACTATGGCGGTGTGTCCACTCACAGGATGAGTGGCGCTGTCCAATACTGTCACTATGGCGGTGTGTCCACTCACAGGATAAGTGGCGCTGCCCAATACTGTCACTATGGCGGCGTGTTCACTCACAGGATGAGTGGCGCTGCCCAATACTGTCACTATGGCGGTGTGTCCACTCACAGGATGAGTGGCGCTGCCCAATACTGTCACTATGGCGGTGTGTCCACTCATAGGATGAGTGACGCTGTCCAATACTGTCACTATGGCGGTGTGTCCACTCATAGGATGAGTGGCGCTGTCCAATACTGTCACTATGGCGGTGTGTCCACTCACAGGATAAGTGGCGCTGCCCAATACTGTCACTATGGCGGTGTGTTCACTCACAGGATGAGTGGCGCTGCCCAATACTGTCACTATGGCGGTGTGTCCACTCACAGGATGAGTGGCGCTGTCCAATACTGTCACTATGGCGGTGTGTCCACTCACAGGATGAGTGGCGCTGCCCAATACTGTCACTATGGCGGTGTGTTCACTCACAGGATGAGTGGCGCTGCCCAATACTGTCACTATGGCGGTGTGTTCACTCACAGGATGAGTGACGCTGCCCAATACTGTCACTATGGCGGTGTGTCCACTCACAGGATGAGTGACGCTGCCCAATAATGTCACTATGGCGGTGTGTCCACTCACAGGATGAGTGACGCT